TCCTAAGCTCCCTGGTGGTGTCCTCCTCCTCAACGACCACCACTTCGTCGCCTCGCTTGTGGAGGATTCGGACAGCTTGAGGTCGTGATTCCTCACGCTCGATTTCTTCCACCTCATCCTCCTCCTCTGCAGATGGAGGCACCACCAGGGGGCTCCATGGCCGGACAGCGTGTCCAACCATGCCCTTCGATGCTTTAGGGCGCGCCGTCTACCCCTCTGGCACCATAGGTTTCTCCGCTCCGGACTCCGGCGCGACGTCGGCAACTCTAGCCTCTGCTCCTGAGGTCCTGGCGGTTTCCACCGCTGCCTCAGGCATCGCTGTCGACTCGTCCGCCATCGGCGCCAACCGTTCGCCGCCGCCAAGTACATCAGCAGCGGTGGTTGACTCTTCTATAGGCCGCCGAGCACCCGGGGACTCTGGGACGTGGTCTGCCGGCGCTGCCTCCGCCACGGGACCAGCCCTCGGCTATTCGTCAGTCTAGACGGGCGGGGTCAGATCCTCCATACGCCTCGCACTGCATCAGATCAGCTTGTCATTCGCCAAAAGAGATAAGGATACGACAGCAAAATAACTCCGAGGCTAGGATACTTACGTGTCGGCCTGTCGGTACACTTTCCTAAACTAGCGTTGTCTACCCGAGCCCCCAGGCGTGGCCTTGGGGTCGACTCCCGCACCCTATGGTGGAGGTCTCGCGGCCTCCACCATCGGCCTCGCCTCCTCCTGTCGCTCCGATACTCCTGTCGCCTGCTGCTCGGGGACTCCCTCCCCTCCCTTCGGTTGCTCTTCCGTGCGCGAGCTGCGCGGGGGCGCTTTATTGCTCGAAGGAGGAGCTACTAGAGCCCCATCTTCGTGTCCGAGTGGTCTAGTCACCACCAAGCGAGATGTTGCTCGGTTTGCCGGGAACAGCACCTGCCGTTTTCCTCTTCTTCCGCTGCCCTCTTCCCTCAGACTTTCTCCGACACCAGGGGGTACTCTCCGTCCGACCAACGTCTGCGCCTTCAGACTCTGATGAGGCGCTGGCCGCATCTTCTTCAGGCCGAGCCGGTGGCCGGGCGTCTACTGCCTGCGGCCAATCGCTCCTCGGCATGCCCGAGAAGTACACCGCTCTTTCCTGTGAATGGATCTTTGCATAAGTGAATCAGTTCACTACTCGGCAACCGTAAAGGATAAACAGCATTAGGAACAAAACAATTGGGCTGGTTACCTAAGGAGGCGGATTTGTATAGTTGAAGGCCCTTGTCTGCCTTGACACGTTGAACGAGGCATTTGGAGCGAATAGCTCTGCGGCCCGCTCTAGCACATCATCCCTCGTCAGCCTCCTCGTTCTCTCCCGGGTGCCGTCGTCGTCGCCCTTGAAGTCAAAGCTCGAGTGGGCCCTCTCCTTGTAGGGCTAGACACAGCGTACTATGAAGCTCGCCGCCACCAGTCTGTCGTTAATCTCCACGCCTTTTATCAGGTTGAGGAGCTCCCTCACCTGCTCCATGTCAGCACTGCTCGGCTTCTTCGACCAGCTCTTTTGGCTCTCCGGGATGTGGTCGACGTTGCAGCGAATTGTAGGATGGCTCTGCTTCATGTAGAACCACCTGACGTTCCACCCCTTCAAAGAAGTATTCAGCAGTACAGTGATGTACTCGCTCGCCATTCCATCCCGGAGTTGCAGATATACGCCGTCGCCCTTCTTCTTCAACCAGAAAAGGTGTCTGAAGAGGTTGAAGTGCGGAAGAACCCCCAAATACGCTTCGCAGAAGTGGATAAAGATCGAGATGTGCAAGATGATATTTGGATGGAGATTGCATAGACTAATTACCCAGAACTCCAACAGATCCCTCAGGAAAGGATGAATAGGAAATCCCAACCCGCACCAAAAATAATCCTCAAACACCACTACTTCATCAGTATGAGGCATTGGGAAGGGCTCACCGCTGGCTGGCCGCCATCTGGCGATGACTCGGTCAAAGAGAACATCCGCCTCCACCATCCTGTTGATCTCCGCCTCCCCCATCCTCGATGGCACCCATTCCTTGTCACGGCTGGCTACGGCGGCCGCCTTCTTCGGCTTCACAGCTCCCTTCTTCGACGCCATCTCTCAGATCTGGTTATGGATTGGTGGTGGAAGCACGTGTGGATGTGAATCGGGAAGTGCGAGGGCTGAGGATGAAGATGAAACGGCAAAATGGCAAAGGTGGGAGCGCGGGGTGCGGCGGCGCAGTTATAAAGCACTCCCCCCACCTTTCGCATTCGAGGGTTTTTGAGAAACCGCTCCTGGATGTGCGCCTCTCCGAATTCTCCGCAATCGTGTGGTGGGCCGTTACCTGGGCCTTCGCGCAAATACAGCCTATATCGCTCACTTCTCACCGCAATTTGTTACTGCTCACCGAATATTCGCCGACTTCTCCGCCATCCGTTATGGCTCAGTAATTACTACTGTACAACCATTACTCCGGTATTTTCTCCGCGATTTGTTTTCTCCACAATTTCCAATTGTGGCTCGGGGACTACGTTAGCAATACGACTTGGATCCTCACCGCATTGGGGACTTTTTTCTGATGACTGCTGTTTCTGACCCTGGCACCACGTAACTACGTCAGCTACTGTCAGGCTCGAGGACTAAGTGGGCACACTTCACCTTACGGTGAATGTGCTTTTTCTCATTTTGGGGCTACGCTCGGGGACTGGCTGCCTCCTCGGCTGGTCTTCTACTTTTCTTCTACTTTGGACCCTGGCACCACGTGACTACGCCACCTACTGTCAGACTCGGAGACTAAGTGGGCACACTTAACCTCGCGGTGAGTGTGTTTGCTTTAATCTGGAAGACTCCGCGCCTCTTAAAGTTGAAGAAGACTATCTCCCTTTCTCGTGGTCGGACTCTAAGTGGGCACACTTGGTCCACTACGAGAAAATTTTTTGATTCTGAAGTTGAGCTCCTTACACCCTTATGACAAGCCGTACTTGGGTTGCACTGCTCCGCGACAGTGCACGCTGCTCGGCGACGGTTCACGCTGCTCGACGACTGCTCACAACTGCTCGGCAACTCATCATGATGGTCGGACCATGAGTTTGACTGCTCGGCTTTGTTCGCTCCTGCTCGGACAAGCTCAAAATGGCGTTACACAACGGGTACAAGGCACTCGGGGACTAGCTGTGGGGGTTACGACCCCGGATACCCACGGCAGATCACATGGGCTGCGCCCCTATGGGTAGCCCAGCCCACAAGACGAAGCCTTGCGGGACACGACACTGCTCGGTGCCTCCCGCAAGACACCGGAAAGATATCCTGAAGATACTACGAGATCTATTAGGATACGTATGATCCCATGATTCCTGTAATCTGTTATTACTTTTCGGTTATCTCCCAGATCTAACCGATTTGTAATCCTACCTCCGGACTATATAAGGCGGGCAGAGACCCCCTCCAAACTCACGCAATATCATATGATAGCCAATACAATTCAACAGACCACAGGAGTAGGGTATTACGTCATACTGACAATCTGAACCTGTCTAATTCGTGTGTCTCTGTTACCTTCTTGTTCTCAATTACACGCATCTCTGCCGATCAATCTACCTTCGTGGGATACCCCTCGAAGACTGCCGACGATATTCTATCGACACTTACCCTATTAAAAAAGAGATGATTCTATGCGAAACAAACCAGGTAACCAAACAAGTCATGTCCAGGCTTAGACAATACAGGCAACTAAACAACTGGCGGCTAGCCAGGCTTAAATTGGCTTGCTGGGACAAGCTAAAGCTACTCATGCTTGATTCTATCCAGGCTAAAAATAGAAAAAATCAAACACACCCACCCTTAGCAACTATGAGATATCGTCTGTAGGAGGAGGCGATTTTGAGTTTTGGTCCGGCGGGGGTACGGCACGGCGGTCACCCAGGGAGGCAGGCTACCGGCACGGCGTGGCCATGGTTGTGGGCCAGCCGCCAGCCGGAGCGGCTGATCTTGGCCCCTTGGGAAGAACAATTTCCTAATGTCGCTCCACCCAAATGAGGCTTTTTAAAGTTAAATTTCGTTTATAACCAAAGAGAAATTTTCCCAAATTTCGTTCTATCAAAGGACGATTTCCTAAAGCCATTCAAGTTCAATTTATCTATATCTATAATACATACAATTTCCAATTTCTAATTCCGTTACATACCGTGCTTCTCTACCAATCGACGCCATCTCCGCTAGCAACTTCGTTCACATGCCCTGCAGAATTCAAGGCCGTCCTACCCTCCAGCGTCTAAAATTGTAATCCAGCGCCGTTCCAATTTGTAATAACAAAAAACAATGGAGTTTAGCTGCAAAACAGAAATATCCCGACAGCTTTTTTGCTACTCCAAAAATCACTATATAGAATGGCTCTAAAACGAAGCAGGACCAATTTACAGCGTGATTTAAAATAAACCCACAAAATGGATTTTCAACATTAGATATGCTTGCTTTGATAGGGAAATGAAAAAACGGGTGTAAAATTGAATCAATAAATATAATTAAACATTGCCAAATCATAATCCCCTTGGTTTTTCAAGCAGATACTGAGTACACTGTACTTTGAAGCATCCAAATGGGCTTACAAGATTTACTTGATTGCTGACACGCACAGTCGTACATGCAGTCCCAGCATGCTCAAGTTGCTGGGACTGACACTAGATTAACCACAACTTTGTAATTACCTGAAAATATAAATTTAATTCTGTCATTAAACACCTGAGGAACTCCATTGCAGTAAAGAGCATGCAACAGTGGCACACAGAACGACAAAGGTCAGGATATCTGATCACCACAAGCCTAGTATGACAGTGGCAATTCAAACGTAGTGATAAATGCATAAACCACCAAGTAATTCAACCCTGAAGTCCCAACACCAAGGAAAATTTTATCCAAGGGATAGGGTTTAGGATCAGGGAAATATTAGGAATCATGAAAAAGCAAGCAACAGCTTATACCAAACTTTCTTACCCTGTGAATCCCCTAACTAATAACTCAATTTGTAACTGAGCGTTATTGGTTGGCGTCATCATTTTCATCATCAGAGTCTGAGTCACTTGCATTGTATCCTGAAATTTAAGAGAAGTCAGGAAAAGAAAATGTTTAACATCCAAGATGTGAAAACCTTTAAATGAGATAATCTCAAACAAACTTTATTGATGAATACCTGGACGTTTCCTGCCAACCCTCAAAGCTGAAGACCTGAACCTTGATGCCCTATCCATCCATTGTTTTCCCTATATAAAAGACAATATAAGGAAATAAGAGGAGAAAGTACAATCAGAGTGTAGATTAGTATAGCTAATGGGGCAGTTGACAATAGGAACTTTGAAACCACCATACGCAGATAGACAAAAAAGGGACATAAATTTGTAAACACTATTGGAATCATACGTAAGATTCAAAACCATCAAGCGTATCATTAATCCAACGAAATATTCAGATTCAACCATCACCAAATTCAACAGTGAAGTGCACTTTTATTTGTGATTTACACAACAGATGCTAGACTACATAAGTGCATACCTAGGCTCTATAAGAAATACGAGAAGAGAATGGCCATATACAGATCATAAAAAATGGGTCAAAATAAAAATAACATGATCATCTAAAAGTAGTGCAGTCAGACCACCTTTTCCTCTAGGTCTGGATGACCAAATCGGTGATTAAACACTAAGTACAAGTCCACTGCCCACCTAGTTCCTATGTACTTCTTAAGCTTTCGTTGAATGGTAGTTGGGTGAGCAAGTTCTCACTCCCTTGTTTCAATGGGAGTTCCACTTGAAAAGAGATCCAACATAAGAGGAACCATGTGGTTTTTCATTATCATTAAAAAGAAATACCCAAACTTGAGTTAAGACTACTTAAACCATGGTGGTGAGTATGGACAGCCACACCGCTGACCTCCCACCCCCACCGAGCTGGTGTCAGTTCCTGGGAGCTCCACTTGATGCATTCCAACTTACTATAGTTCGTTAAATAATAGTGTACTAGGGAGCTCAGAGCCCCTAAATCTTAATAAATTGGTAATACTAGCAACACTAGTGCTAACCATGTAAACCTCTAAATGCATTGTCTCAAGAATTCAGACCTCAATGATTATAAAATGGTAAAAGATCGATACAACTATGATGAAATCCTCTAGTTGATTAAGTTCTGTTTGGTTTGCACCCTCACCAGCTTTGCCTAGTCCAGCCAGCACACTCAGATGTCAGATTTTAGAGGCCCATGGGGTCAGATATGCTCTGTGTGTGACCCAGATTCCCAAGCCAACAAGCCATACAAGTGGTCAGCTCAGCCAGCGTTTCAAATTTCAACCATTGCCATGCCATGGAGAGATCAATACTTAGCATACTGGCTTTTGAATGTATACCTAGTTCCTATGTACTTCTTAAGCTTTCGTTGAATGATAGTAGGGTGAGCAAGTTCTCACTCCCTTGTTTCAATGGGAGTTCCACTAGAAAAGAGATCCAACATAAGAGGAACTATGTGTTTTTTCAACTCCCTGGCTGGAAGGCAGATCTAATGACAAGGGCTGGAAGAAGGGTACAAGTACAATCTGTCCTCACTGGTATGCTCATTTACTTGGCTATGGCTTTTGATTTTCCTCCATGGACTATCAAAGCGGTGGATAAAATCCAGCGCGGTTTTCTTTGGAGAGGACGTAAAGATGCAAAAGGTGGTCATTGTCTTGTGGCCTGGGTCAAAGTTTACCACCCACCGGAGCACGGAGGTCTGGGAATTTCAGATCTCAAGTCTCTTGGCTAGTCCCTGCGCATGAGATAAGTTTGGCTGCAGAAAACAGAGCCTCATCGTCCTTGGGCTGCTCTCCCGTTCCTGTGCCAGAGCAAGTGAGAGCCTTCTTCTCAGTAGCAGTGATTTCTATAATTGGAGATGGTGCGAATACTCTTTTCTGGACAGATCGGTGGCTCTATGGGCATTGCAGACCTTGGCCCTCGCCTTTTCGCAGCTATCCCTAAAAGGAGGGTTAAGCGGCGCACTGTCCGGGACGCCCTCACTAACCGGGCTTGGATTTCGGACATTCAGGGAGCTCACCAGTTGGTGTGATTGTTGACTACCTTCATTTATGGAATCTACTGATGGATTTTCAGCTGCAGCTGGAGGTTGAGAATACACTCTTGGAGGCTCTCCTCCAATGGACAATATTCGGCTAAGTCGGCATACTAAGGTTTCTTTTTGGGTTCTACTCTTTTTGGACCATGGGAAAGGATTTGGAAATCATGGGCACTGCCCAAATGTCGCTTCTTTGTGTGGCTGGTCACGCACAATAAGTGCTGGACGGCTGATCGCCTAGCACGTCGTGGGCTACCTCATCTAGAGTACTTTCCCCTTTGTGACCAAGAAGAGGAGACTATCGACCATCTCCTTGTCCATTATGTGTTCGCAAGAGAAATTTGGTTCAATCTATTCAGACAGGTCGGTCTTCAGACCTTGTCCCCTCAGCCTACAGAATTATCCTTCCATGCTTGGTGGGAGAAAGCTAGCAGCAGCACCGTTGATGGGTTGATGAGGCAAGGAATTAATTTGCTCATTATACTCAGAGCTTGGACTGTATGGAACCATGGCAATGGGTGTGTGTTTGATGGAGCAGCTCCAAACTTAGCTGGTGCTCTGATCATTGCCGGCAAGGAGCGCCGCTTGTGGTCTATGGCAGGGGATCGAGGGCTATCATTCTTGACTGCCCTCTTTCCCGGTATTTAGAGTGTTTAGCTCAGTAGTGGTCGCCTTGTGTGGTTTTTGTCACGGGCACGAATGTAATCCTTTTAACTGTTGGGGCGTGAGTGTGTGTGTGGTGTTTGTGGGGTTGTTTGGGCTCTTGCCCTTTTCTCTTCTTAATATAATGAGGCGCAGCTCTCCTGCGTTTTCGAGAGAGAGAAAATGTATACCTAGTGTGCTATTTTTACTTCTGAGATGTCGAAACTGAAAAGGAGGATAGAAGGCCAGGTTCACCACACACCACATCAATCACATTCTGCTTGCTTATATACTCCAAGAAAAAAAGAAATTTCAGCATTCATAGAGCATTGATATTGTTACGAACTGGAAAGTCATTATATGGTTTGAATCTATTTAAGTATATATATGTATTTTTAGAACCGTAAAAGCATATCCCATTCCCATAGATAAAGAAAAGAAGCATTCTAGTCTACTTTTGAACTTACTCGCCAAATTAATACACAAGTCATGAAACATGATGTCAACAGATAAAAATCATGCTTACTGTGCAAAATGCATAATCCTTTAATGAGTATACCCACCATAAAATGATTCCAAAAAGCAAGAGCTCAACAATATTGCATATCATGAGAAAATTAAGAAAACATCATATATAACTGAGAAAATTTCATGATCAATCCCTAAACTTACAAGGCAGTGTCATCCCTGTTCCCAACTCCCAAAATTTGATATTTGAGTTCACGAAATTGTATGCCAGTATTATCTCCCCAACTCTCGAATTTTGATATATATATATGGGTCCCCAAACTAATGTGGTGATGTCATCTAGGTCTCTGAGCTTGTCTTGGGTGCTAGCATTGGTCCAAATGGGCTTTGACCCACTCCATGCGCTGACGTGACATGCTGATTGCGTTTTGCCATGGACCTGACACCACGTGTTAGCGTCTCTCTCAAGCCTCTTCCTTCCCAAATCTGGTGAAGGTGCCCACCACTGTGGTCCACCTGCGTGGCCAAGGCCAAGAGTGGAGGTGCTAATTTGGTGCCCAAGGGGCGATTTGGTGGTCGAAGCCCATGGAGGCAAAGGTGAATGAGGCAGAGAAGCAGCAGCAGAAGAAGACGACACAAAAGAGAGGGCCCCCTATGCATGGGTGCCTGCTATCGCCGGTATGCTGCTCGGGAGATCAGGAGCTGAAGAGAGAGATCAAAGCCCGTTTGGACTAATTCTAGCGCCCGTGACAAGTTCAATGACCCAGATGACATGGATATACAAGTTTTAGGGCTTATAAATATCAAAATTTGAGAGTTGGTGACCAAAATGTCACCGCTGGGCAAGTTCATGGACCGTTTGTCAATTTATATTTTATACCAGTAAAATAGTGATTTTTAACCTAAAGTAAACCCAAATTCACATATCCATGGAAAGTAGACAATGAACAGATCTGCCAAAAGAACTCCGGATTAAGAGAGAATCGAAGCATTGTAAGCCAATTATTGTTAGTGGCAAAACAAAAATAAAAAAACAGCAATGAACAGAACAACTTTTATGTCAATCAACCTTAAGCTCCAAGGAATGGCGCACAGGATGCAACCACAAACATGAAGTTAACAACAAAAAATATAGGATTAAGTCCACTTTTGGACCCTCAACTATTGGGTTCGTCTAATTTTGACCCCCAACTACAAAACCGTCTAATGTGGGTATCCCAACTGTCAAAACCATTCACCTTTAGCACCTGGGCGCGAGCAGGGCTGTTTTGTTCGACGTGGAGCGGGTTTGACCACGCCACGCTGGCGTTGACCATGCCACGTTAGCCTCTCTTTCTCCTGCGCCGCAGCCGAGTCGCCGGTTCCTAGAAGGACGGCGTCCGACGAGATGGGAGGGGCAGGCGGACACCGCAGGAGGCGGTCACGAGCCCGACCTCCCGCACGGGAGCTCCATCCAGGCTCCGACCCTGGGCCGCTCCGAGCTCCAGCAGCCGAGCTCCTCATCAACCTCGCACCAAGCCGCGGCCAGGAGCAGCAACCGCGTCGCCTCGCCTCCACCGACCCCGGCCCTCTGCTGCATGCCAAGTCAGAGACCGTTCTCCGCCAGCCAGCAGCGCCACCATGAGCCCCACCTCGACCTCGCCGTCCACGACGTCGCTGCGCACAGCCTCCACCTTGCCGAGCAGTTTTGCCTCCACACCCACGCGCGTTGGTGCCCGCGTGGGGCTCTTGCTTAGATGCTCGTGCGCTTGCTGCGTGGCGGCGCGGGCGGCGCTCACCGCGAGCGGCTACAAACGTGCGGGGCATGGCTCGGTGTGGGAGGTCGGGCTCGAGAGCTTCTGCGGCGCGCCGAAGAGCTGGCGGCGAGAGCCTGCCCCCGCGGCCATGGCGGCAACGTCGGCGAGAACTCAAAATTGTGGCTTACCCTTGATGGTTTGCGATGAGATCACGTCCGAGGCTAGCTAACAACCGGCGCACCATGTGTGTGAGGAATTGGAAAAGGTGGCGCGATTGGGGCGAATTTGGTCGCGGGGTGAAAGTCAAGAACGATGGCGGCGGCGACGGCATTTTATAGTCACGCCAGCGTGGAGCGCGGAACGGCTTGGCGGGCTTGAAAGCTTCTAGGCATGGCTTGGGCGCCCACTTGCATGTGGCATTGAAGGCGCGAGGCCTCGTGGCGAGGCGATGTACAAAGGTGCTTTCGGCGTTGATGGCGGACGGTCGTCGAGCAGCGTCTTTGTCGCGGTCGTTTGAATGGCCATGCCATACTGTTCACCGGCGAGGAGAGGCATGGATGGAGCTCCGTCACGGGAGGTCGGGCTCATGACCGCCTCTGCGGTGTCCGCCGCCCATCCCATCTCATCGGACGCCGTCCTTCAAGGAACCGGCAACTCGGCTGCGGCGCAGGGAGGCGGCACAGGAAAGAGAGAGGCTAGCGTGGCATGGCCAACGCCAGCGTGGCGTGGTCAAACCCGCTCCACGTCGGACAAAACAGCCCTGCTCGCGCCCAGGTGCTAAAGGTGAATGGTTTTGACAGTTGGGATACCACATTAGCCAGTTTTGTAGTTGGGGGTCAAAATTAGACGAACCCAATAGTTGAGGGTCCAAAAGTGGACTTAATCCAAAAATATATAATTTCATCACCAAGTAAAAAGCACAAGTACATGCTACACCTATGTAGCATTAACAAACACCATGGCTTGTGCTCAAAACTAAGAAACAATTGTTCTTATCAGCAGATTGCATAAAAGGCCCAGAAAAGCAGCAGTTGACACTACAAAAGCTTGTTGAATCCCATTCGATGTAGTATCTTAACTGCAAACAAAGCGACTCAAGGCTCGATCTGAATCACTAGGATAGATTATGATGAAATACTAAAATTAATGTTGCATCTGCCAAAAATTCAACAACTAAGTTCCCAAATTTTCAGTCAGAAAGAGAAACGAAGCGCCCCATACTCTGCGTTTCTGTTGTGGTTTAATCAGGAGGGGGGGCTTAATCTTTTCTTTAGAAACGACTCAAAACTCTCCCACCCAGGAAGCAACTCCGCAGATTAAAACCCCTACACATCTGAATCTTGACTTAATCAGGTAAACCCAGTAGCCAGGAGTCCCTTAAGATCGTCCAAACAGGAAAATTATCGCTATGAAAAGGAGAAACTATAATAAATTAAACTAAACAAGGAAGCTGAATCGAATCCCCATCTACCTAGCACAGACGACTAAATAGGGGAACCTGAATCAAAAGAGATCTCATTTTAAACAAGGTGCGTTGCTATACCTTGTACTCGTTCTTGGGGGTCCCATAACCCGAGAAGAACATCTGCGCTACAAGCACCTGGCTGGCGATGTCCCCTTTGCGCGCCTCCTTGTACGCGTCCTGGAACCAGCACTGGACGCAGTCGCCGACCACCTCCGACAGTGGCTTCCGCTCGCTCTCCAACCCGCCAACTCCATTGGCGCCCTCCATCGCTTCGTTCCTCCCGATGTAGCGTTCGTCGCCGGCGGCGGCAAGGGCTTGGGGGCTTCCTCCGACCTTCAGGAGTGCCGCAGCCGACGACGGGTTGGGGAAAAAAAAGAAAAGAAAAGAAAAAGGAAGAAAGAACGAGGCGCGAGGCGCGAGGCGCGGAAAATACAAATAGGCGGCGGGCAAGGGGCGTTTGTGTAAAATTGCAGTGCGCTTGGCTTTGGGTTTTGCCCTTTTCTACAACTTGCCTGCGCAACGTGCAGGATGAGTCGTCAGAAGTAGCCGCCACCGCACGCGGTTTTCAAAGCGGATGCGGTGCTCTGTCATGTACTCCGAACCGGACAGCTTCCGACCATTGCGTGTATACTGTGTTTTCAAGATAAAGAAACCGTGCCAGTGCCTTTCTAATCTATATCACTATCCCTAATCTTTAACTTTAATCGCTTCTCTATCTCTAATCTCCAATAATAATACCTATATATCTACATCTATATATATCTATAATATCTAACTAGATATATGCCCGTGCGCTGCACACGGGTAACGAATTTTTATCCATATGAACACCAATGCACGTGCCTTATGGTTTAGACGAACATATTAACAAATTTTTATCCATGTCTATGACGATGCACATTGCTTGTGTTTTAGACGAACATATTAAGAAATATACAAATTTGATTACATAAAGCATATTTTATGATCATTATGACCCATATTGTGTAGATTTGGTTTATAGAAACCTAATAAATTTGGTTTTGTTTTTTAATTATTATTTGTATTTTATATTTTTATATTTTCAAAAATTAATAAAAATCTAATAAATACTTTTTCATTTCAACCCCTAAACTATTTCTAAATTCTTTAGGTTTTCCTTCTTCTATGTTGACGTGGCAGACTAATGGGCCACGTTCTTACGTGCGGGCATTAAGCGTATCACCACACAACGGACTCGTCTGTTACGTGCGGCCAGTAGGTCCGTCCGTTTGTCCCACGGCACGTCGTTCCTACTCTCGCAGGAGGCCGAGCGGGGTGTAGACGCACGGCCACACACGCACGAGGTGAGCGGGGCGCAGACGCGCGGGCACACGCACACGGGCATGCGCTGACGGGTGAGCGGGGCGAGCGTTTGCAGGTGCCCACCGCCGCCGGCACAAGCTAGAGCTAGGGCTTTCAAGCACAGGCGAAGCGGAGCACACGGCGAGCACGTCGTAGAGCGCGACGAGCGACGTGGCCGCCGCCAACACACACTGGCATTGCATCTCCCGCGGCAATGGCGAGACATGTGCTCTCGCGTACGCCGGGGATTACGCATGGCAACAGGTCGCAGTTGCCCGCCATCGTCGCGAATAGGCTGGAGCTAGGGCGCGCGCGGGGGCGTGATTTTTTTGCGTGGAGGTGGGTCTCGACGTGAACCCATGCGGGCGGGGCGACACGGGAGCGTGCGGGGTTCACGTACCGGACTTGCCATTATGCTGGGGCGGAGCGAATAATACTTAGCATCCCGGCGACGCGGACTCTCGGACAGGGATCCACACGGGCGGGGTGAGTGGCGGGAGCCACGGATTAAGCTGGGCGAAGCGAATTATTTTGGCGTCCGATGATGATGTTAGATTCTTTTTAGGTGTAGAGATAGAGAATAATAATTAGATTAGATTTTAAATTGTAGAACATATTTTATATGAGTAGTCAGCCATGTTTATATTTTATCTTTATTTATTTATTTATTTTTGGGTTGAATTGGTCCTCGAGTCCGCACATTTTTTTTCCTTTTTTGATCGTATGTGACCTAGACTCATATGACTCATGCTCATATGAGTTAGAATAACTTGCGCATGACGATAATGGATAGAAGTTTGATTCCAACTTCCAAGACGTGTGTTGTTGCGCCTTCTGTATCTCCTATGTGGCTCGGACTCGTGAGTTATGCTTATATTGTTAGAGAAATTAGGGAGTACACCACATGATCTCTAATCTATTTAACGTAAACACATCAATGGATTAGTGACTAACTGTGATCTTCAGGGTAGTCCACCATTGGTAGTCGAAGTAGAGGTCACCGAGAGTACTCTTCCTTGCCGGGGAAGATGCCGATGTCGGTGTGGAAGTAGGGATGGCGGTGTAATGGCGGTGGCCTTCCCGTCACTCTAGCGCCCTCGCTAAATTGGATCTTAAAAGAGGATGGGTATCGGCTATACCTCAGAACGTTAGTTTCTCGGGGTGGGAGCCATCCCTCTTATTGAGCTACGTGACGAGAGGCCACAACCTACGGTCACTAAGGGTGCCCCCGATTATGGCACATAGGAAAGTCATGTATTCCCCTTGACTTATTCCAACATTCTCCCGCATAGTCCATGGCCTTGAGTTCATTTATTCCAACATTCTCCCTTTGATCGAAAGCCTAACATCATAAATCCACACTTAATAGAAAATAGCACATAGAGGCAATTTGTTATAGCGGTCAAGTAAAACAGCACTGCAACAACAATAGGTATACCAATCTAATACCTCGATAGGATATCACATAAACATTGTAAGGGACCGTGACGTCTAAGAGGGGGAATGAATTCGGTAACTTAAATTTCTACTTCTAACTATGGCCTCTAATTCCACCTAGTCAAAACCTATGCAAGAAAGTAATCTATCTAAATGTGCAATTAAGATTTTGTTAGGTGTGTTGCTATCTCTACCGCAAAAGAGTTATGCACCCTAGATTCTAATCCTATCAACTAGCCTATCAACTAAGCTAGGAAAAGTAAAACACACAACCAAGGTAGCAATATAAATGCGGAAGGTAAAGATGAGGTAGAGATGCAAACTCCCGTCGATGACTCCGGTATTTTTACCGAGATATCGAGAAGCGTGCAAGCTTTCCCCTAGTCCTCGTTAGAGCCCCTCGCAAGAAATCCCTAGCAAGGGCCAAGCTCCCGGTCGGGTAACTCCATGGATAGCTCCGGGCCTTCCCCACGCGCAAGTGGGTCTCCCATGTGTCTTCCGGCAAGCCTCTCTTGGACCGTTTCCTGCCGTCTTCACTATCAAGCTTTCGGCCGAACCGCCGTAGGCCTTGTTCCCTTCGATTATACGGTGGCGGCCACACCACAAACGCGGTTGGTGTGATCTCATAAGACTACAAGCCCTCCGATGTACAACAATGGTGCGCGCAAGCACCGAGTGATAAGAGGTGTGCAAATCTTACTAAACACTAGGCCTAAACTTAGAGCAAGCGCATAAGTGGTGGTCTAATCAACCTAAACTCTTCGCAAAGCACCTACGCTAATCACCTAATATTTCGCTAAGCACTATGCAAGTGGAGATCTCTAAAATGATGTATCAACACTCTTGATATGTTTCCTCAGCTCTCCACAATTGTTTTGGTCGGTTGGAGGTAAATTTATAGCCCAACATGAGAGAACTAGCCATTAGACCCAAGACCTAAGTTTTGTGCTAGTGACCGGACGCGTCTAGTCTCTCACAATGGTCAAAGCGACCATTGCCGACCGTTGGAGTGCGCATGCACTGATCGGACTCAACGCCGAGTCCGGTCATCACCGATCGAACGCGTCCGGTCGCGTCTGCGCCGCTCTGGAACCTCTCTGAAATCGATCAAACGCTGCTCTCGGGTGCGTCCGGTCGTCCACTTGCCGTGGCCGATCACGCTGAGAAGGTAGGCGTGACGGTGAACAGTGCCATCATCGCGTCCGGTCACTTCAATTCTTCAGCGTCCGGTCATCGTGTCTAACGCCGTTGTTGCCGAAAGCAACTGAATGGACGATCCGGTCCTCATAGGGGCCACATCTGGTCACCTCTGTTGAGCTTCTTCTTTGCTTGTATCTTCACAATCCCGGCGTTTGGCTAGGTTCCATCTTTGTGCCTTGGACTTGTTTGGATTTCTTGGGTCTTCTCTTATGTTTATAGGGTCTTGCTTGAGGTGTTGATTATTGGATCATCACGTCGCCTTCGTCCAAGTCACGTTTGCACCCTATTAGACTACAAAACAAACACTCGCAACCACATTAGTCCAATTTGGTTGTGTTGGTCATCGAACACCAAAATCCAAAGTAAATGGGCCTAGGGTCCATTTTTCTTACAAACATAATGAGAGTTGGTTGTTTAATGGCCCTCATACCTAGAATCAAGGCTTTCCATTTAGTCTATTAAGGCAAGGGTCCATGGTCAACCACATATAAGTGATGTGCACAAGGCACATTCTAGATGGCTAGAAGGGGTGAATAGCCTGTAAAAATTTTCTACAAGCTTACAACTGACTAGAGCAAAGTGGTTAGTATAAAAGATGGCGCTAATAGCAACTAGTTGCTCTAGCTCTAATTCACACAATGCAAGCCTCCTACACAAGTCTAGTAGCTTGGACTCTAGGTTGATTCACACAAACAAACAAGCTATTACTACCAACTAGAGATCTACAACTAGCTAAGTCTACTAACAAGAGAGACTAAACTAGTTACAATTACACTACAACTACACTAGCTAGTCAAGCAACTACCACACTAACAAGATAGCTATGAATGTAAATATAGGAGTGATATTGATCAAACCAACATGGGGCAAGAGATGAACACCAAGATATATCCCTGAGGTTCGGTTGCTTGCTGGCAACCTACGTCCTCGTTGTGGCGAGTCCCAACTCGTTGGTTCGTGAGCTAATTGGAGTCACACGCCAAACCCACCATGCAGGCACCGCAAGAACCAACTGAGAAGTGCACTCGAACTAGCCAAGATTCCACTAAAGTTGCTCTTTGAGAATCTCCCGCAGGGAATGAGCACAAGAACCCCTCACAATCAATTAATCAGAGCCGACAACAATCACCAATGCCGCTCAACGATCATTGTTGTCTCCAAGCCGTCTAGGTGGTGGCAACTACCAAGAGTAATAAGAATCCCGCAGCTCAAACGATCACTAGTGCCACTAGACGCCTCAACTAAATGCAAATGCACTAGGATCACTCTCAATCTCACTTTGGATGATGAAATCAAGAAGGAGATGA